ATTAATCAAAACTATAACTTGCATTTGGGAATCACTATGTGGACGTCTGTACACAACATTGTATTCATTGTCGAACCCATCGTACCAAGTTTTTGCTAGAAGGAGCTGAACAATGCAATACTATAGAAGCTGTATAGGTAACCATCCACTTGAAAGTATCGCCTTCAGAGGGCGACATAACTGGTGATACATAAATAAACGAACGGATATGTGTATGTGAACTGGTTGCGGCCACTGGTTGGTTTGTGCCTTCGAGCAGGTGCATACGGCACGTGACCTGATTAAACTGCAACTTTATACGGAGGCCAATGATTGGGACAACAACCGGTGTACATGTTATAGCGCAGGGTCGATTTTCCATTTGACAATTGTGTTTCGTGTTATGTCTACGCCCGTGTTCCTGAAAATACCTACATACATTGAAAGGACTGCCATCTTTTGCAAGTCTACTTCGTCTAAGTTTCCACAATGAAATCACGATCATGTTAACAGCACTAGGTATTCCCTATTTGGAGGGGGTTATTATAATGATTGAATCAACGTATGAACTGCTCTATATAATAATCACATTTAACGCTCGAGTGTATATTATGAGACACGCGAAATCACAAGGCCCGGGGAGCAATACATAGAATTTGCCTAATGGGGACGTGTCCCTGAAATGGGTCTCGTTTTTTGGATTTTAGGTATAAGTATCGGTCTTATTTCTGGTCAAGATAGGTATAAAAACCGGTAATATAACCTGAACATTGTGTTAATAATATGTTTTTATGTAAGTGACAGAGGTGTTTCTATGGTCAAAATACATATTTTAATAAATTAATATGCAATGCAACTGTTGGCTTACATGTGCTTCTATTGTAGATGCTCTTCTAATAGAGCAAATGCGATAACTGTTTTATTTGGAATAAACAGTGATGACAGAAATAGTACTTTGCTATAAATATGGGTATAGATTTTGCCACTATTCAGGTATAAAAATCGTCACACTTTTGAGCACTCAGGGGCACCTCCCTACCCACCTATGTATCAACTGTCCCCGGGTCACAAGGCAGCCAGAACCCACACAATGGTTTATGGTGTTACTCAGTAAATATTTAATGCAATTTTATTC